AAAAAAATGTAGCTTCCCTTGCTTTGTCATTCTGATTGGGACCAAATTCTGTCTGATCTTTCTCTAAACAAAAATAGAGCTTTAAACTTTAATGGTACACCTCTGTTTAGATGTGCAGCAAAAGATGTATAAACTACTTCTTTTCCCACCTCTTCCCTCCATCAGCAGAACATAGCAGGAGCTTCAGGCTCTACTGCTGCAGATGCAGCGGCTCACCCCAAAGCAAGTGTGTGGCTTTGCTCTCAGCTTGCTCATTTGCGAGAGCAGAAGTTAGCATTTCATGTTTTCGGGGCATGCCGTAAATACCGCTTTTAGGCCCAACATTCCATGCTCTGATTGCTTGAAATTGTCTTCTTCCTTGAATACTTTCTGTGTTATCAATAGGAGCCTGCTTGGCAGACAGCTCCACAAGTGGAGGACTGTCCGTGATTTGCCTCGAGTTTGTTGCTGAAATTCCTTCTCAGAAGCTTATGTCAAGTGACAGCCTTTTTCTCAGGATAGGGTCATATAGTGTTTCCTCAGTGTAGTTATTTATTTTTGGTTCCTGTTCTCTCCCTCATAATGGAAAATCTGTAACAGGTGGCCACAGGCACACCAGACTTTCATGCTTGGGAACATAAAGGACCATATGCTGTATGATGGCATGTATGGAGATAATAAATTGTAGGAATAGGCAACCAGCTTATATATAAAATAAGAGCTGATCTGAACTTTCAATTCAAACTTGTCTAAACTGAAACTGTCTCCCTTTTCAACCATGTTTTGTTGTTTGTCTGTTTTGCTGCCTACGAGCTGATTTCAGCTGGAAGTGAATTTTTCTCAATTCATAAAAAGTTCTGACATTTTTACCAGACACCCTGGGTGAGATCTAGTACCCTTGAAGTTAGTTGGACTTTGGCCATTGGCTTTAATGTGGCCAGAAGTTTACTGTATGAGAACCATTTTGCTTGGTTCTGTATAGGGTATGTAACAAAATAACAGGCATCTTCAAGATGGGGTGGGTTTTTTTGTGAGATTTTTGGACCACGTGCTTTCTTGGTCTAAAAGGAGTCATTCTTCCTCTGGAAGACAGGGTGATGCTTATCCAGTATAAACCTTCTCTTTAATATTGCTGTATTAGTGGTGATTTGCTAGTGACCTTTAGTTTCCTTTTGTTGGACAACTTGCAGCAAGAGTTTAAATTCTCTTTGGAAGAGCTTGTTTGTGAATACATGAAATAACAAAAATAATGTTAGTTTCAGCTGAATGCAGCCTGTGCTGTGCAGCATTATTTACCCAGAGGCTGTACCGTTCATCCTTCAGCCATGTACTTGGGTCTGTTCTCAAACCTGGCATCAGGTGCTGTAGACATTGGATTTCCCTGTTTCCCAGTACGCTAAGCTGACTTTTAATTCTGTGTGCTGGGTCTTGGCCAAGGTGAGATTCTGTGTGTTTGTTTTGTTTTGGTTTTCAGAGGCTGCTTAATCTCAGTCTCTAGTTTTTGAGGAAGAGAGAGGTGGAATTCATGACTGTGTGGAAGTATTGGAGCTCTAAACATAGGGAAGAAATAACATTGTGTTTGGTCAGAAAATACTCTTTGGAAAGATCTTCCAGATCTTACTTGTGGCAGTTTAAATATATTGCAGAACTGTTTGGATGAAAAAAGTACAAGTGAAACTTGGCTAGCCCTCATTAGTTGTCAGAAACCTAACCTGTTTTTACTCCCCCTGCTGCCCGTCATCCCCACATCATGGTGGGACAAATTCATTTAGCAATTGATCTCGCATCCTTTTCCACTCACACAAGTGCAGTCAGGATGCTATGAGAAGATTGCTGTTAAGGTCAGAACAAGTAAGACCGAATTTGTGTGCAGGCAGGATATTTTGAGGGAGTTAGGGGGAGAAAAAACATTAGAAAAGGTTGTATACAATGGAAAGGAAGTATTTACATTGCATACAAGGAAAACGTCTTGAGTCACTATATCTCACTGTAGTCTCTTACTTAGAGTCCTATTATTACAGGCTGATAGTTTCTTCCTGAAATACAAATTAATTAGATCTTATCTGATCACAGGCTTGATGCAGTTTTGAAAAATCTTTTAATTTAGAACTCTCATCCTTTGCAAAAAACTCACCACAAAACACAACTTATCACTGTAAATAACTTCCGTTAATACACAAGGCCTTGTATTTTTCATCAGTACTACCATCTTTTCTTTTTTTTTTTTTAACATATAAAAGTAGTCAGATTTGGTGTTTTCAAAACTAACAAGTGCTCAGAAAATCTTGTAATGACTGTCCATGGACTGGAGGGGAGGGAAGAGAGTTGAAATGGAAAATGAATTAGATTCTTAGGCTGTGGAAGGGGAACATTCCTGCACAGAGAAGCGACTCTGGAGATAAGTTTTAATTTCCTGAGCTCCAGTCTCTATATAGGAACATTGAAAGACTTCCTTCCTGATAACCAAGTCATGCCAGGGGCTGTATTAAACGATGTGTTTCTGTATATAATTGCGTGCTTGTATATGTATTTGCATACTCACAGTATAACTACGAATAGTGTAATTATAATGATGGAAGTTAACTTTTAAATGTGTTGCGTGTATTCAAGGTATGGCTTATATACTGCACCTGAGATGTCTTAACATATCAATATCTATTTAGACTTCTGTAAAAGATCTCTTTCATATTTTGTCTCTATGTAAAAACCAAAACTGAACCAAAAACCATAAATTAAAAAAGCACCCTCCCCAACCACTTTTCTTGCATTTTTAAGAGGATCTGGGTTATGGCGTACCTTTAAGAATAATCTAGTCACTGAGGTAGAGGTGTTACAGATTTCTAATGCATATATCTCCTGCAAATGCAATCTTGTTATAACCATTTCTGTCTCACTAACGTTTCCTCATTCCATAAGTACTTAGGCAAAACCATGAAGCTCACTGAGTGATATATAAGTAAGTACTTCAGGAACAAATATTAGGAGACTTTTTCTTTGTTTGTTTATAGAAGGCACAAAGCATTTACAAAAAAGTATGGCTCACCCTAAGTTCTGCATTTGCAAAAATTAGTTTCAGAGCCTAGGACTATATTTCCTTTTAGCAATTAATTTCTATTAAAACTGATTTAATTTACTGTTTCCATCCTTGGTTCGTTCTTTCTTTTTTTTTTTTTTTTAAGTGAATCTCACAGTTTTTGTTCATATAGTATAGGGTTTGGGGATAAAAACGTATGTCTAAATAAATAATATTATGCTAAGCAGAACAACAGTGTAACTTGCTTTGTGAAGCACAGATTACTTGAATTCCGGACCACGTCTAGATATCCTAAACTGTCAAATAAAATTACTACAACCCTCATTGCAGTTTGTGTGACATCAGAATTAAAGGTATTACTGAGCTGTTCTATGTTTACCAGTTAGCCAACTATAATGTCAGATAACATTGCTTGATTTCTATGAGTTTTTAGTATTATAGGTTTCAGTTCCACTTGTCAATAACTTTCTTACATTTAATTTCTTCATAACCATTCATAATTAAGAAATAGCCCCAGAGTATCTGTTTTGTATCATAATTGAAGAATTTATATCAGTTTTTATGATTTTAGAGAGCACTGAATGTAAGTGTATCGATGGTATACAAGATCGGAAAATGACTTTCAATTATTTCTAAATCAGACAAGCCTGTTTATTGCATAAATGGAAATTTATAGACTGTGTAGTTGTTTAACGTTTTCTTCAGAACAATTTTGGAAATAGGGAGAAAAGCCGTAAACTTAAAGAGATTCTGATGGCGCTAAAGTGTTGCCAAGCAAACCATAAAATCTGAGTCAAACTGTAATTCTATAGAAAAGCTATGAAGTACTTCTACATATGTGCTGTAGTTGGTTCTGGGGTTCCTGAAACTGCTTGTGTGTAAAGTCAGTGGTGGAAATGGCTAGCTAGCTAAAAGCTCTGATTCCTGCAGCTTGACTGTTGCGAGGAAAAGATTTTTTTCTGTGAAAACAGTTGTAACGTGGAACATCTGAAAAATATGTTCCATGCAAAATGGATCTTCACACACATTTATTTTGACATTTAGGTTTGATTTGAGAGAGAGAGAAGATTCTGAAATAGCCATTCACATATGGCTTGTGCGGGTTTTATTTTTTCATATGCTTCTCTGTGTTTTTGCTTTGGGATGGATTTTTTTGCACGTGTTTGCAGACTTGTCAATCCTCCTCTTCCCCCAGATCACATGTTTAATTTTTTCTGACTTGAATTTTTGTCCTTTTTTCCAAAAGCTGATGCTTAAAAATGAAAAAAGGAAAAGGGGCAAAAAACCCCACACCAACCCCAAACCCACAAAAAATCAAACAAAACCCCAAATACCTCAACTCCCCCCTACAAACCCTACTCACCACTTTAACCTGTTTATCCTATGACAAAAAAATTCTTGGCAGTGAGTGAGAATTTATGTATTTTGTGGACTCTTATAATACAGTGGAAAATTTTTGGGGAAGCACCAAATCTTTACGCCTTCAGCAACGAGTAGATTTGGGGAGCCCAGAGGGCCGTGTGCTCTCAACTCAGGGAGCATGGCTGGCAAAACATGGTGTGTGTTCAGCTAGAGGGGTGAAGCGCAGACATTGTGTATCTGGCCACCCTTCCACAGAGCTGGATTTAACCCCTGTAGCCTTTACTGGTGGGAATATCCTTTCCAGGTGGGAGCAAGGACTGAATTGTTAGAGTCTGCATATTTTATTTGGAAGGTATTGAGTGAAAGCCGCTGCCGATAAATTGTGGTTGTGCAGTGTGCCTAAGAAGCAGGTCTGTCTGTGTGTGAGGAATAAAAACTCTAAGTGGCGCTGGTAATCTCTTCTTTGTGAAATGTCCGGGCAAAATATCCTTGTATTCTAACTGTAATTATAAAATGAATATTCAATGTATTCAGTTTTTTTCTTCAAGGAAACCAGATGTTGAGCTTGCACTGAATGCCATCAGTGATACATCTCGTTTGTTTTGTTTTTAATCCCAGAAGAAGTTAGCTGTATACAACAAGATGCAGGAGTCTCTGGAAGTGACCCTTCCCAGCAAGCAAGAGGAGGAGGAGAAAGACCAGCCTGCCGAGATGGAATACCTTAACTCTCGCTGCGTCCTTTTCACTTACTTCCAGGGCGACATTGGTTCAGTAGTGGATGAACACTTCTCAAGAGCTTTGAGCCAAGCCAGTAGCTTCAATCCAGAAACTGCCCTTACCAAGAGCAAGGCAGGGCTAAGTCCTCTGTGGAGAGGTAAGAGGACAAGTAACTTGCTCTCTGTGGTGTGGATTACTCTGTCTGTGTCACAGTAATGCATATTTCATTGCAGCTGAGATTTTGCTCCTCTGTGGAGGTGGGAAAATCTCCCTCGAATTTGAAAGAACTGAGGAGCTTCTTGGGATCTGAATCATTTAAAGGGGGAAAGGGGCCCAAGGCATGAAGAAGCAGGCATCTCCCTCTCTTGCCATAGCCCATTGCTCTGCTGAGGTCTGGAAGGAATGGGGCAGAGCTCATGTGGTTTCACAAACGTCTGCTGCAAGGTTGGAGGCTTATTTTTAAGCTCCAAGTGTGAAACTTGGCCTGTGAGGCAAGAGCAAAGCTGTTTGTGATGCTGGCCTTGGAACGTGAGGAGACCCATGCAGCCTTCTCGGGTGACTTTGCCAGGTGATTAAGATTTGTCTATGGCTGCTTTCCAGGTGGGGAGGAGCCAGCAGAGGCTGGAACAAGCTCGGGTGCAAGTCCTGGACCGTGTGGTTGCAGTCATGCAGTGTGGCACATTGCGGCCTGCTCATGGGAAAGATATGACTTGATATTGTTACTGGTTTCCCTTTCCCATGTGTAAAATGGAGAAACATTGCTTCTGAGCAGGCAGTAGACATGTGGTAGGTGCTGTGAGGTATTTGAATGCTGCCATAGCACTCATATGTACAAGTGTGATCAACCTAACAAAGAGCAGATCTTGCCAGGTGTACTAGGTAGACCTTACAGATAAGACTTCAAAAATGGTGACTGGAGAAAGGGTGCTGGTAAGATGCTGTTTCCCTTTAGTTGACTGTGGCAGGCTGAATAGTTTCTCAGATCCACAGCTGCATTATTTCTGATCATGTCCTTAATGTGGACTGACAAAGGGACATGAGCTAGGTATCGTGAGTAATGGCCTTGCATCAGGTTGAGTGAGACAGATACCGTGAGGATCCTTGTAGGTGTGGTGGAGTTCATAATCGTTGTTGAGGTGAGAGTGTATTGATGAAAGTCACAGATAATAAAGAGAGATGGGATTTTTGGAAACCACTGTGAAGAGAAAAATAGCACAGAAGGACTTGCTTTCCAGAAGAATGATGACAAATCCGAGGAAGTTTAAGTAAAGGTCAGCAGAAGTGGCTAGGGAGCTAGAGGAATTTATGGCTTGAGCCGGGACCGTTAATGTTAATGGGAAATTTTCCGTCGACTTGACTGAGAGCAGGATTGAACCTATGCTTACTAAAAAGGAGACTGGAGCATTTATAAATGGCCCAGACAGTCTATAAATGTTTTAGAGATGGGATCAAGGCAGTCCCCAGAGACTCTACGCTTACAGCAAGCCCTCTTCATGAGCTCGGCGACATACCATGGGTGGGGTAGTGTGTCTTCTCTTTGGCCTCAAACATACCCTGATGTTTTTCCCTGGCTCCCCGCATGGTTGCACGGCCCTCCCCAGAGGGCTCTGCAGGGGACAGGGTGGCCTAGCACAAGGGTTCTTCAGCCATGCTGCCTCCTGACCCGGTGTGCCCCGTGCCCTCGGCAGGGAATGGAAGGCTGGGTGTCCTGAAAGTCTTCCGGGAATGAAGTAAGGGGATATGCCCTCTGCCATCGCTGCACCTGCTGAAGCAGTATGAAAATCCCCGGGGAGGCTGCTGGGCAGAGCTGCTTGGTTCTGCACTATGGACGCTGGGAAAGCAGAGGGTATTTGCTTCTCCAGAAAAGAGAAGCTGACAAGAGTTCTATCAGGCCCAAATGAGTTTCTGAAACACGCTTGCTTGAAAAAAAGTGGGGAAGGAGTGATGCTAGTGCTATGGTCCTCTGCTTCAAGTACAGTTGTCAAAGATGCTCTGTTACAGCAAATGGATGTGAATTTCTGTCCCATTACCTAAAGAAACTAAAATATTACTAGCTTAAAGATCTTTTATAAACAATTTTCATGGGTGGTCAGAATTTTTGCCAATAAATTACTCGAAGAAAAATTAAAAAAAAAAAACAACAAAAACTTTTGCATTTGCAATAGCTGTTTTGGAGGGTACAGATTTAAATGAAAAGTATGTGGGCATGAAATGGATATTCAGCTCACTGCATTATATCTCCATTACCTGAAAGGAGGGATTTGTAATGTTTTCTGCTTTTTTCTTCCTTTTTTTTTTTTGTCTTGTTGTAGTGGTTTTTTTTAGTGTCCTGATGGAAGGGCTAGCTGTAATTTCATCATTAAGGTGGTATTCTGGGGTTTTTTTGTTTCGAGGAGACATTTAGGTTGTGTATAGAAAATAGAACCTTGTTGTTTTGAAAAGAGCAAGATTTTGTCTTTTGTATGTTGAAAATACTGATCAGTTTGGGCTAAAATTAACTTCAAAACTGACTGTTTATAAAATATAGTTCCCTAAAACAGGGTCTGGTAAAATTATTGGTGTAGCTACCTGAAATGTTTTGCAGGGGCTAATGAAACTAATGATATCTTGAATTCAATATTACCTTAATGGTGTTTTTGTCATCATGTTTTTCCTAGCTGAAAGTGTTGGGGTTTTTTTCTTTCTTGGATTTTGTGTTTGCTTTCTTTTTTTCCTCCTGGCTTAACTGAGAAGCAGTGTTGTACTACAGAAAATTCCATACATTGTCTTCTTTACAGCATGTGCGCTTTGGCATGTTTTCAGTGCATGTTGGCCAGCCACCATGAACATTTGCATTATTCGCCACTTCGTGGTATCTGAGATGTTGCCATCTCCCTGCTTCCCTGTACTTAGAATAGGAAATTGTGGTAACTGTAGTATCTTTCTTGGCAGACATTTTTTTGTTAAATGCCTCCTTCCCGCCTCCTGAAAGCCCCCGGAAGCTACTCAGATTGTTTTTTTTTTCTTTGTCAAGGACAGTGCTGAAATGGCTCTTTCTCCATTGCCATAGCCTGCAGAGGCCAGGTATCTGACATGATGCTATCTGTAAAGATAATTGGTTATGCTGGCTATTTTAAAGGTAGGAAGGAAAGGAGATCCTTCAAACACCATGGAAATGTGTGGTAGTTGGGGGTTACGGTTCAACGCGGAGGTGGTTCTTGTTGACAGGGTTGCTGCACACTTAATGCTTAGTAGCATCCTGTGTGATCACTTAGGGTGGATGAAGTTTCCTTGCATGTTCATATAACCTGAATGAACCCTGTATCTCTAGTGATGTGACTTGACCTTGACCACTGAGGATGTCTGCTGCACTCAGTGGTGTCTCGGTGGCAGCTGATCCATGACAGTTTCTGACAGTGGTAATGGCTTTGTGAAATGTGCACAGGTTTGAAAAATGGAGATGACCAAGCATGTTTTCTGTGGCCTAGACCTTCTGCGTGATTGATAAAGCCAAGCTGGTATGCAATATGGGATGAATTGATATTGGCAAATCAAGTGGTTTAAAGTGCTCTCTCGTGGTATTAAGGAAGTTGTCCTGCAGATACTTCATGGTTTTCTGTGCTTTTTTGAAGTGAGATGGTTGGATTTAGGGCTTTTCCATGCAGATAACAGCCAGATAGTTTCCAAAAACTCTCGATTACAGAGATTAATTTTCCAGAGTACTGGCACTGCATTGTCAAGCTGTGCTTCTCTGTTAAGCAGTGAGGAAAACAACAGACTGGACATGAAGAAGCTTGTTTTTTCCTTTTTTTTTTTTTTTTTTTTTTTGTTGTCAGCCCTGCTGCCAACACTGTAAGCCATGTGCACTCTTTATCTCAGCCTAATCCCTTGTAACAAGGAACAATTTACAAACAAGGAACAATACCGATTTCAGAGGGGTGCTGAGGCTTCTGTTACATTCTTGAAGCTTTCTCCAGTCTTCTAGCATGAGTTAAAATAGAAATAAGTTGCTAAAAACCAGAAGCAACCTTTTGAAGAAAGCCATGTTGGAGTACAGTTTGCTAGACAAGCTTGCAGCCTATGAAGCCTTTCTCTAAAGTTCTTTCTTTATGTTTGTCCATAGTGTGTTTGCAAAGCTTATTTCTAATATCGGAAGTTAATCAGGCTCAATAAACTGCCTAATTCAAGGCCAATTGATGTGTAGAAAGATTTCTATGATTTTAATGGATTTTAAAACAGATACACGAGTGTCCTAGCGATACAGTCAGAAAGCACTTTTACAGTTCTTGTTTCCAAAACATTTTTGTGTAAGCAAAGTCCAGAGGCAGGAGCGTCTGAAGAATCTGTTCATTCTCAATGGTGTCTTCACCCAAGTCTCATTCCAGTTGCTTATTAAACAAAGCAAAACAAAAGGTCATTTAAAAAAAATAATATAAATATTTTTGTAAATGCTACATGAGGAGCAGAGGATTCCTTGCCTCGTCAAATATTAAACTTCCCTAGCTTTATTTCTCCATAGGCTATTTTTATGACTGTTCTTTCAACAGAGGTGAAGTCTTACATTTTTATGTTTCCATCTTTGACCAAAAAAAACCCTATTTGAGCTGAGACATATTGCATGAAGCAGTACTTTCAAACATGAGTTGGCAAGAGGATTGTGAGAATGGAGATGCCAATACTTTACTACACATCAAAAACACTAACTGCTCCTTCAAAAGAGGAATTTTTAGAATGTGATTTCATAATGTAGATGTATTGAAATCTATTTAAATAGAAGTTGAGGCCTAGCAGTAAGAAGCAGTGAGTCTCTTCTTTCTGACAAAAAGTTCTTTCATTTACATAGATGTTTCTGCTTGCATGACCTATTGGGTACAGGGCAGCATGATATATTCTGTAAGGGATCTAATGTTAGCACATTAGATATGATCTTTATCCCATCAAAGCTTGTAATTGGGTATTCTTTTTGGCAAATGTCTCCTATTGTGACCTGATTCTCTGTCCTCAAAAGCATTTACAGCCACAACAGCTGCCTTTCTAAATTATATGTTCTGGTCCAGTCAGGTGTTAGCCTCTCTTCATAATTCCCATAGCAAGATCCTGAGAGGGATGCAACTTTTCAGCCTGGAGAAGTGAAGTCTTCTCTGGGAGATTTTATCAATATGTGTAAGTATCTGATGGGAGGGAATGAAGATGGAGGAGCCAGGGTCTCCTCAGCAATGCTTGCTGACAGGACAAAAGTCAATCAGCATGAATTAGAGAACAGGAAATTCCATCTGAACGCAAGAAAACACTTTTTTTTTTTTTTTTTTTTTTTTTTTTTTAATTTTTTTGGCGGTTGGAGAAGTGAAGTCTTCTCTGGGAGATTTTATCAATATGTGTAAGTATCTGATGGGAGGGAATGAAGATGGAGGAGCCAGGGTCTCCTCAGCAATGCTTGCTGACAGGACAAAAGTCAATCAGCATGAATTAGAGAACAGGAAATTCCATCTGAACGCAAGAAAACACTTTTTTTTTTTTTTTTTTTTTTTTTTTTTTAAATTATTGAGCGTGGCTAAACACTGGAACAGGTTTTCCAGAGACATTGTGGGGTTTGGATCTCAGTCAAAATCTGCCTGGACCCATTTCTGGATGACTTGCTTCAGGTGACCCCACTTGAGCACTTGGATTGGACTAGATGATCTCAAGAGATCCCCTCCTACCTCAACTGTCCTATGATTCTCTAATTGCTGAGGAAGCTCGAGTTCAGTGTTAAGAAATTTCAGAGAGTAGAAAATCATTGGGGGGGTTTTGTCATTAAATTTTTTGTTCATCTTCAGTTACACTTAATTTCTCTCCTCTCTACCAGAAAGCTCAACAATTTCAAGCCAAAGGAGCAGTTTCCCAACTTCATTTTGGACCAGCTCTTATCAGCCTCCCCCTCCACCATGCTTAAGTGGAGTACACCCCGATTTCCCCGTTACTGCACCAGGCACCTTCCCAACACCAGATCCCAGCAGCTGGCCAGGACACGGCCTTCATCAGACTGCCCCACCTCCTCCCCCTGCTGCATCTGAATCCTGGCATTATCCTTTAGCATCTCAGGTGAGCCCTTCGTATGCACACATGCATGACATGTACATGCATCGCCATCACCCTCATCCACACATGCACCATCACCATCCCAGCTCGCACCGTGACCCCCGGTACGGGTCCCTGCTGATGCCTTCAGTCCGTGCAGCCAGGATTCCTGCTCCCCAGTGTGACGTGACAAAGACAGATCCCGCTGCCGTCACCAGCGCTACCTCAGCATGGGCTGGAGCCTTTCATGGAACAGTGGACATTGTGCCGAGTTTTGGCTTTGACACAGGTAAGATGGTTTGATTGTGTTTGTGACTTATTTTAGCAGGAAGAATTGGAGCAAAGAAGTGGAGTCCCTGCAGCTGAAGCAGGGCTTATTGTCGCAGCCTTCTCCAAATATATTTCCAGGTGGGAATCCCTCCTGAAATCACTGTCAGGGCAGATGAGCTGTGAAACATCCAGCTTTCATTGCCGTTTGCTGAGAGACCTTTGTCTGCCTTGGTCCCATACAAGCCAAATGAGTTGTGACATGATATGTGATTTTTTGGTTTAAATCTTGTGGGAAATGGTTAATTAAACTTCCATGTGGAAGTTTCCAGCTTGTTCAGCTAGTTCGTATGTGCATTCACCAAAATATAGCTCCAATGAGGACTGAACTAATAACTTGTCGGTACATGAGGATTGCATCTTACTCATCTAAATTGGAACAGGTCAGCATTTCCTTCCTGTGTAGTATCCAGGTGTCACAGAGAGAGTAGAGATGCTGGTTGAGCTGTGCGCACCGTCAAACTAAACTTCTTTCTGTAGGATCTAGGCAGAGGTCTGTGAACTTGTTTCATTTTACTGCAGGGTCTGTAGCCACAGGAGAGTCACCATGAAGTACATCTGCACCTGCAAGCTTTGACTGGCAGGCTCTCGTCTCAGTGTTAGGAGCAGTCTAGCTGCCCTCACTGTTCATAGGTGCTTGCCATCAGGTGATGGGTGATTAACAGTTTCCAGTGCACCCCTCCTGGAGATCACATGCACTGGAGGTCTGCTTTTTCTGCTTGGTACTTACCTGACCAGCAGCAATCCTTGCAGATTAGTGCTTCTTAAATACATGATGTTATTTATTAAGGAAATATTAGATTTGCATCTCTCTTCCTTTTTCCTTGAGGTATCTGTTTGTCTGTCTTCTTGATAGCTCTAGCTAACTGATTCAGTGTGTGAAAAGCACTTCCTTGCTCTGATCAGTGTGCAGATGAACAAAGAATCAGTGGAGGAAAAAAGCTGTTTCTTAAATATGAAATAATATGAACCCAAAACCCAATTATAATTGAGCTAACCTAACACAAATCTCTCTCTCTTCCCTTAATAGCAAGTGGGAACCAGTAATCTCTTCTAAATATCATGCCATTTACTGCCTCAAGAAATTAAGAAAAAGTATAATAATGGTTCTTAACACTGGACAATTTTACATCTATTAATATTTCCAGCCATGCCAATGATAAAAGAGGAAACACTTGCACTTTTGGGTGTAGAAGGATAATCTGACAAGACTGGGATCTCAAGTTTTGCCTTTCTGACAAATTCCATAATAGGAGCGAGCTACCTTCTCTGCAATGTGAGCAAATTGTCACTGCCACAGGTAGAGGAGATAAGTCCCTTGGTCACCCCCCAGCAGTCCAGCTCCAGAGCTCTGGTATTTGACTTACCTTTTGGGAATGGAGATGAGAACTGCGTAAGGGATTGTTAATCAGGAGAAAACACTACCTGGCTTAGGTGTAAGTTCAGCCTAGACTGAGTTGTTTCAGCGCTGGGCAAGTTGGTTTGCTTACTGCCACTTTGTTGGTAGTAGTATGTCTAATAAACCAGATGCTTTTTCTCTTTTCTGTAAGAGCACAGTACCACAAAAAGGACTCTGGGTCCTAGCACTGCCTTACAGGACTAATATAGCCTTTGCTTGGCACTGCCTTCTTATGAGAATCTCTACAGAAGGGTACAGTTGGATGGTAGTTTTGTCAGGATCCTGATTTGGCAGTGCTTAACGGTGGGTTGTGTGCCTTGTAGTTGTCTACTCAGTATGGGAAGCAGTGGAGAAGGGCTGAACTCTTCTTAATTTCTGACCCTCGCCTGATGTGTGGGTTTTAGTCCATGAGTTTCCCGGGGGAAAAAGAAGGGGAATGTGTGACTTGTTTCCAAGAACAGAGGATCTCAGCAGACCAATGTCTCGCTTGTTTCTGAGTATTCAAAGTGGTCTTGCACTGAAACACAGCAGCAAAACCTTACCAGGCAGCCCTGGTTGGCATATAAGGCTTTGGAAACAAGGGAGCAAGCAATGAAACACAGCAGGTAGTGGTAGCCTGTGACGTTACAATTATCTGCTCTCTTACCTTCTGTGCTAATCTCTGCTGTGCTCTCCAAGCAGAGGCTTGCTGGGATGGCCTGGAAGGTTCTGAGCTCCCTTTTCAGCTTTGCCTGCAGCTTGTACATTTGAGATAAATGCTTTGGTGACAGGCATGCAAAGGGTGATCACGATGAAATGCATGTCAAATGGTGTCATCCCAGGGAAGGTATGTTGTGCTGCTGCTGCTGAAGCACCACACTGAGTCTCATCCAGCACTAGCCACCGCAGGTGAAACTTTTCTTTCTCCGTGTCCACTACAGGAGAGGATTATTCTGCATAAATCTCCACATCACAAAGAATTTCATTAAATTTAACTCTAATGTAATCTCAACAGAGAGGCTAAAAAATGAAGGGCCTGGAAGAGTGTACTGGCTTTCTGTGGTGTAGAAGTGGTTTATCCAGAGTAGTGTCAAGCCATAATGGCAAGAAAACCTCAGTTCTGGAAGTCATTGCTCATATGGCCCTGGAGAATCAAAGACATCAGCCTGTGGACCTGTCGGTATATCAGATTCCATGAGCTTCAGATGATTTATATAAAAAACCTCATTTGGTATATACCTAGACATTGCTTTTCAGAGCCCTTTAGATAGCAAACTTCTCCCCCTTCCTTACTGTGGGTCACATTTCTTGTGCTACTGTCACATGCGATTATAGAAACATTTGCAAAATTCCGCACGCTGAATTATATGGAATGATTGTGTTGGGATCGGGGCAGGCTGACTGTAATCATACCCCCTTCCAGCTACATTGTTGCCTCTCTGCCACACTGAGACAAATATTTCATCTCATGAATGGATGATGCTGAATCACTTCAAAGGTTAAGATGGGGTTCCCCTTGCGTGCACAGTATAGTTTGGGAATTTATGTTTCAGAACAGATTGTGTGGGACATCAGCGTATCACCGTTCGTAGAGCTAACGAAGTATTGATCTGTCTTGCACATCTGTTTGAACTTACATGGTCCTGTTTTAGAGGATGAAGAGGGATTTAGCTACCTGATTCCCATTAAATGTAGCTTAATCCTCACATTGTGTGCTGCAAATTAACCCTTTTCGAAGCTTTTTTATTGCTACAGGTGGGATTATAGAAAATGCTACTCTACTTCAAAATCTGTTGAAATCTGTTATGTTTGTGGCTGCTGGTATGCACTGTCTTTCCAAAGCTGAAGTGTCCAAGCTGTAATGCTTAATGTAGAAGTATGTTTTATATCAAGCATTGATATAAACACATTGATATAAGCACGACATGTTTGTGCTTTGGGCCACAATTCCCTGCCCCAGTGATGTCAAGCAAAACAAGGTCAGCCTCTAACAGCATTGACTGAGGTTCATGGCATACGTACAGGGAACATTGCTACAGTCATAATCCCACAGTGCCAGGGCTAAGTCCGTGTGTTTATATTAAGGGTGTACAAGACAAGTTAAGCACTTGAGACCCTTGGGGGTGGAGAGGGGAGTTGCTGTCTTGCACTGGAGCTGATGGTTTCAATCCTCAGTACTTTCCTCAGGAGCAGGGCGGGAGGCTGCCTTGCACACCATGTGCTTCAGGTGATCAGTTGGATCTGGTTGCTCTGGCAGCTACCAGGTCTGTGGGCAGCCCCATGGGGAGGCGAGCAGAGCAACTTGCCCTGCTACTGCCTAGGCTAGGAGGATATCCTGTCCTGCTGTTGGACAGATGTGCTGGAGGAGGCTTCCCGTAGCCCCAGCACACTAAAAGCAGACCAGGATTGTGGCATATCTGAAGGCTGGAAGTCTTTTCTTAAAATTGAGGAGCACATCCTTTATCATGCAAAGTTTGCACTTTAAATTTAGGTGAATTAATCGACATCCTGAAGCCCTGGCTAACTATGAAAAGTCCAATTTTGGAAATGCCTGTAGGTCAGTGTGTCACGTTGAAGATGAAATTTGAGTGGTCAGTGTACAGAGTTGCCTCTGTTCACACACACATCCCATGAGTTTGTCACTACTCATTAAGTTGGTTCAGATGTTCCCACAGAACCTGCATTCTACTTGTGTGGGAATTAGCTCTAAAGTTGATATCCCAGAGATGGGGAGTCTCAGTGGTGCAGCAGTACTGACTCATGCAACACAAGCAAGGATGCCTTTTTGCCAAGAGGAAAATGTTCTTGCAGCAGGCTAGTGAAAGCTTTTGGTTAGTAACAGTGTTGTGCATGGATGGCATACTAGGACTGCAGATAACCTTGCCATGAAAGAGATGGGAATATAATGAGGAAAAGGCATGAAAAGTGTTACACATTCAGTTCTGTAACTAAGGCAACTTTGGTTTTTTGGATTGTTTTCCATGGCTGTTTAGACTTAATAACTATCCCTTAGACCTCCTTGTTACAGATATTTCTGTTTGTTGCAAAGACACCTAACTAGGAAGGTGTCTCTTCAGCTGGTTATTCTCCTCCTACCAGTTGCTAGTGTCAGGTGGACATCCTCTTAAACAGGTGTATGTGTGTCATTTTTTTTTAAGCTGCTAGGAGCCATATAACCAGTTTCTTTTCATCAGCTTCCATTGCTTCTGGTGGCCTTTAGTGATCCACTGGTAAAATTTAATGAATTCCTTATACTCTGAAAGGTTTCTGCTGTCTGGCTCCTTTTTTTGTTGGTTTTTTGTTCTCTTTTTTTTTTTTTCTCTTCTTTGTTTAAAAAAAATTGTAAACAGCAGGGGAAAAATAACAAAAAATTGTCATCACTAGCTTTGAGGAAGCTCTGAAGGAAACTAACAACAGTTCATGATGTCTGCCTGTGAATGATGCTGCTAGGAAAACAAGTAACTTAAGCAACAAGGAGACATCCTCATTGAGTAAAGAGCCTCTGAACATGTTTCTATAGGTGTGTTTTAGTTGAGGGATATCCCAGTTTTTCCAGTCTAAAGAAATAGGTGCAATTGCACGTGAAATGGAGAAGAAAACCACTGACCAGGATTTGGCATGTTATACCCATGTGCTCTGCTTTCCCTGTCTGTTCACTGCTGGACACACAAGTGTTTGGACGCTGCTTGGGAATCCTTGCATGGATAGAGCCATATGCTGTCATCTTTTGTGTGACTGTTAATTGCTGTGTAGCTCAACTCTGAAATGATGTTGATCCTCATTAAAGATTTAACTGTTTTTACTCCTAAAACAAGGAGATGGTGGTCAGATCTGAATGCATCATGCCTATTAGGCTTTCTGAAAACATACAGGTCTTTCTTTGTGTTTTACCATGTGATCAGATATGGAAATGAGAGGTCCGTGCTTAGCACATGGATCTGTTAGTTTTTTTCGGGTTAATGATCAAATGAACACAGAGTTCCAATGGTTGCAACATCATTGAAGGCTGGAGTTGCACCTACTTAACGTTAGTGGTGACTTTGGCCCTAAATTCTTAGGAGATCAGGTATTTGATGCATTGGTCTTGGTACACTATGTAGCAGGACAGTATATAATACGACACAGATCAGAGCATTGCTGTCCATATAGCAAAGATGATTTATAGTGGGAAGTGCACATTCATTTTAACAAGATGTGATTTGCTTGGCTCAAAGCATCAAGGGGCAAGTTTTAAATCAGCGAGTCCAAAATGCCTTAGTATCTCTGAAAATATGTGCCTGCACATCTCTCCTTTCTACTTTCTGTATAAATGAGCAAGAATGTATCTTTTTGGGAAGTATCATCCTCATTCTCCCCCTTTATTGTCTGGATTTTAGGTGTACGCCCTGTTCGGTGTAAATCTAGCAAAGATTGAATCCCTCTGGAGCAGAAAAATCCCAGATTATAACACAAGTTCCAAGCGTATAATGCTAAAGCCACAACGTAGCACCACATTTATTAGATAGTCCTCACTTTTTATAAAGGAAAATGTTAGAGGAACTCGTAACAAACGCAAGCTGAAAATCATTAATTTTTCCCATGTGGAAGCACTAGCCGTTCTTGGCTTAAAATCTGACACTCTGTAGGTGAAATTATTTGGGGTTTTTACTTGCTGCAGGAACATTTTCCCTCTCCTTTGTAAGGTGAAATGCCATAGAAACTGTGAGATCCTGAACTGTCACGGGCCTTTTCTTAAAGAGATAGGGTCTCTGGCTGGAGAGAGAGAATTATTGTGTTGCATACTGTATTGTCTGTGTAGACCTTGGTGGAGGATTTAATCATGCCACGTTAGGATCCAGATGAGGCTAAAACAAGGAAGCGCATGCAGGATTTTGTCAGCATTCCTGAATTGCTTGAGCCAGTCTAAAACTTAAGTGTGATTTAAGTTTAGCCCCCGTAAACTATAAAATTAGGAGCAATAGAAATGTTCCACAAGCCTGATAAGTTGTGGGTTTGGGTGTTTTGGTTTTGGGTTTGTTTTGTTGGTTTGATTTTGTTTTGTTTGGTTTTTGTATGTTTGTTTGTTTTAATCAGAAATATTTATCCTTTCTTCAGTTGCTTGGGGAGGGAGAGCAAAAGGCTGTATCAAATATTAATTTTTTTTTTTTCTTTTCTGAAATGTAGGTCTACAACATCAGGACAAGAGCAAGGAAACTTCTTGGTTCTGAAGTTCAGCTAAATTAAGACCAGCTAGAGCTGGAGTAAGCGCAGCTGGGCGGGCGATGTAACAGTTGTTGACTCCTCCTGCATGGGGCAAAGGACACACATGAAGATGAAGAGCCAACCATTCTGGTTTCACTATTGAGCCTTTTGTTTGTAAGGCCGTTTATGGGTCCCACAGTGTTGGAAAAAACCAAAAACCTAACTTTTCTTTCTTTCCTCATCTGAGCCTGCTGCAACTGGGCAACCTAACTCCTTTCTACTTCTTTAACAGTGTTCTGTTTTGTTCAGCGTGATATTTTTATGAACAGTCTCAATTGTCAGGAAAAAGACTCTCCCTTAACTACAGTGCGCCTCCTTTCAGGAATACAGTATTTTGTAGCTCTTTGTGCATCTATTTTTGTAGAAATACAGAAAGTTTGGGTAAGGATTGATGGGCTATTTTAGGATGACATATTTTTTTAAAAAAAAATTGTAAAATTGTTAAGTTCTGTTTAAAGAACTTGCTCTCAGAGAAGCACTGGCAAAAATGTATAAAATGCTATTTTTAGATGTCTGTGATGTGTTTGTGCATTTTGGTTTTTTTGTTTTGTTACCTCAAATGTCTATCTTTCCTTTCTTTCTAAAGAGCTAAACCTTCCTTGTTTCCACATTACTAGATTTTGATGTTTTTGTCCTTTTGTTCTAGCTTAAGCAAGTATAATTCGCACCTAAAGTTTCAGTCAAATATTTTCCCTGCTGGTGTTAGATTGTAGTAAGGGTGTTTTTATTTTCTTGCTTCTGAAGGTGGCTTTGTGCTGTGCTGATTGTCAGAAACTTGCAAACACCTTTAGCATGGAGCAAAGCCTGGAGTTACAGGAACTGCATTTCCAACCCATCCATCCATTCTTTCAAAGTGGACCAAATACTCTGGCAGATTTAAATCGGATGTGAGTTTGGGCTCATCCATGATCCATTGAAGCTGTTGAACTCAGTCCCCTATGAGTTATGTTTCAGGCCCTCATAGTGCTTATAAATATCAGTATACTCTTATTTTAACTCATGAGTTAAAACTCAGCTAAGCCATTTCAAGGGTGGTGATTTATAACATAAGTTTTCAGGAAAGAAATGTCAGTTACATAAAATGCGTGACCTGCGGAAACAAAATCTTTTCAACTGGCCTCATCTGCTGTGGGCCTTATAAGATACCAGCTGCAGCTCTTGAATTTTGTAAGAGGTTGCACGTGCTCGGTGCGTGCAAATTCAGGCTTGGCTGCTGTCTGGGTAAGAGTCTGAACTTGGAAATGACGTGGCCATGTCTAGGCACAGCACTCTGCAGGGTGTTTGGGAAACCCTACTTCTACCCTGGGCCTTGGGTCTGACCTGCATAATAAGGACTTTAGTTGAAGCCAAGGTGAGCACGATGCAGTCCTGGATCAGGGCTGCAAAATTACCCTTGAGGGCCTCACTCTGGCGATGGGCTGGAGCTGGGTCAGCGCCCATGCCCAATCCTAGTGACTCCAATCTGAGTGTCAGCATGTGCTTAGGTGGGGCTGAGTGCAGGATCAGGCCCTGAGGTGACAGATCCTAGCAATTGCTTGGAGATGTTGCCTTTCTGCTCTGTGCACCCAGGGTCCCTCCCTAATATTTACCAAGGCTCTTATAACCTATTATATTTCTGTTACCACTGTTTTCAGACATCCCTGTCAGAAAGACAAACCAGCTAAATGGAAACCAAGACATAAACACATGGCTGAGATAAGAAACGGTTTAATTTTAAGGCAATGAGCACTGTAAAAGTAGGTTTGTCAGGTGGAGACCACATGGGTCTGTGTGTTAAAGGGGAGGGGGAGTGTTGGGATGTGCTTGCCACTCCAAAGGTTCAGGCCTCCCTCCCTGCACTGCTGCTTTTTCCAGGCTTTTTGAACTTGATCCTATGAGGTGTTGAGTGTTCTCCCTTGCCATGTGAGAGGGCTTGACATGCTGGCACTGGAGGCATTAGGATTAAGTCACAATTTGGCAAGACCCTTAAGTGTATACCTTGCTGATTTGAAGTTTGAGACGACGTAAAAGTGCTGAACAGACTATGCTTAAACATGACTTTAAAATAGTAGGGTTGTAGTTTCTGTGTTGGGATGCTGTCTTAAATGTGGGGGAGGGGGTTTCCTCATCTTTATAGTCCATCAGCTTTTCTTTCTCTAAATAAATTTCACACTCTTGCCAGTTCTGTATATTATTGCTGCTCTGGTGGAGCTAGCTCCTCGATTTGTCAATGAATTCGTAATGCAATGGGAAGACGATGGGAGGGAACATAGTAGTAGCCAACATGGCTCATTTTATTATCAGGACAGTATAGTTTCAGGAAGTATCTCAAGGATAATACTTCTGACTTAGGAATTCTGACAGCATTAGAAATACTGGGAGGAAAAACAAAATCCAAAGTTGTTTTTTTTTTTTTTCCAAATGTTTTTCTGAACTTGGCAAAGAGGCGCTATGTCCTCTTTGAACTTCAGGGGGAGCAAAAGAAAGGGCGATATTTCTTTTTGAGGTGTAGTGTGTTTTGACTTCCTGAAATAAAGTCTAGCAAGAGCAGTTAGTTCATTGCCTTCCTCTTTGCAGGTTCAGATGATGGGGGACCTCCTCCTGTTCCCTATAGATGTCAAAGCAGAATGAAGCAGGAAAAAAAAGGCCCACAGTTTGCACTGGAATCCCTTTCTGGATTGTTTTATTGAGTTGATGGGTAATGGGGATGAATATGTGGTGAAGCTATTGCCTCTTCCACCTCAAGGACTACCGTTATGTGCCCACTTTCCACTGCTGAACCTGTGAGTGTGCTGAAGGAACTTATGTTGCTCTGCAGGCTCTGGAAGACAAGTGCCAATAAAATCCTGCTATCGTCTATAGCCATTTGTGCACCAGTCAACCGACTTTAAAAGTCAAACTCATTTTTTTCCTCAGTCACTAGCCATCCCCTGTACAAACAAGCAAGTTGAAAGTAAAAGCACACATGCATAGCAGTAGCCCTTCTTCTATGTTCTGCAGTTTGAAGAATGGGAAAGAAAAAATCCTTCCCTATGACAAACTTTTAAGTTGAATTCAGCAGATCCAATTCTCTCTCTGTGTCTCTCTCTCTTTCTCATATACACGCACACTTATACACACGCACAAATGTGCTTATGAGAAGCAGATGCTGTGATGGTTTTGTTCTTGAAAGAGGAGGGGAGCACTCGCTCACAACATTGCAGTTACGGAGAATTGATGGCAGTGAGACAGAAACAAATGTTAAAACTGCTCATGTTTCCACAGATAGGAAAAAAAAAAGGCCCTTAAAATCAGGTCACAGACAAGTTATGTGTCTTAACACATTACTAAAGGAGTTGTTTCGTTCTTTTTGTGAGTCCTGATGCTGTTCCCAAAAAAGTGAATGATTCGTTTTGCGAGGACACATAAAACATGATGTACTCTGTCACTATTCTTGGGAGAACATAGGGAAATTATTGTTTTATGTCAAGAAAATCTACATACTAAACCCCTTAAAGTTGTCCAGGAATTGATTTTATTCCTATTAATGCTGAGAAATCTGCTTTCAATTGTTGTGTCTTCATTTGAAGACTGGGAGGGTTCAAAGCTGTCCATGGATTTTTAAAAAGTGGATACCAGTTTGTTTCAACTGGGCATTTCCATCCCAACAAGATGATAGAATAACGCAGCTACTGACTGTCCAGCAGATTTGATTTCTGGAGAGCTGAATAAGCTGCACTTGTTTATAGAAAATGCACTTTGTTCTGATTCCTCTACTCACCAGACACACAGATTCAGTTATCAGTTTATCTGATACCTCTTTCATAGCCTGAAGATTTTCAGTGAATGGCAGTTTCCTATCAGTTGTCTATTTCTGCCTCAAAACATCCTTTGAGGATGAATCTCTCATCACAGCTTTGAAAGACAGCAGAGGTTGCAGGAGGGGAGTGCCACTTAGGATCAACTATCGTATATGTCTTGATCTCCTCTCACAATTCTTTATGTATATGTGTATATTTATATACATGGATATATACATGCACACATAGCTATACCTGGTTCTCTCGATTCCATTCTCATGCTTCAAATGCACATCCTTTGGAAATGAACAACATCACTGAATCTCATCTGAGACTGAGAAAATGTAGGCATTTTATTGCATTCTCTGTAACCTCAGGAGTGAATGGAATTTTTCCATACTTTTAAAAAACTAAACAACAAAACCCCAACAAAACCCCCCACCCTTTCAAAACCCCTGATTTGTTGTATCTGTAAAGATGATCAGGGAGTCAGCAGGCTTATGTAGAGAGGTGCAATATATTGCCTTTCAGCAGACACGCATATCTTCTTTAATATGATTCTTTTAATTAATTTCAGGTACAAGCTTTTTCTCCGTATCAATGGACCAGCAACATATATTTCTTATAAATGATTTAGAAATATATATATATTTTTAAATTGACTTCTTGGCTTTAATATGTCAGCCTTTGAGCTTTTAAAGGGTATTTGAATGATAAATATTGTTTGTGTGTGGATTTTTTAAACAAGTTGATGCATGTTGTTTGGAACTGAAATCTCATGTAAAGCAGGAAGGTATTTAAAAATAAATACTGCTTTTACGTGTTAGCCCTATGGGCACAATCTGACAGTTGTGATGCAGGAAGATGTCCTTTTAAAGACTAAGGGACTGTCACATGAGCAAGATCAACATCCAGTCCCTGTGACAGGAGAGGCAAGAGCAATCTTGCAAAGGTTGAACTGATAGAGCTGTGAGCAGGGATGGTTCTCTCCGGCGTTGTGTATAGTGGATGGGCAGCTACTGTTCAACGTTAAAACTGGGCTGTGTTGGTAGGTTTATACTTGCCCTGCCTTATGGGGTGAACTGATTGACAAGGGGAATTAGAGCCATCCCTGGGAATCTGTTTTAGCTGCCCTGGGTCTGGGTCTGTACAGTGCCCTTGACCCCCTCTCTGTTCTTGCTCTGTGGTTTCCATGACACCACAGTAGGACCTGTGAAAACTGGGCTGGAGTTCCTTGTGAAATGCAGGATGTTTACAACTGCCAATAAAGATAGTTTAGGGGTAGGGGTAATTAAAACTTCACAATTATCTCATGCACCTGCTCAAAGGCTCAAGCCTTCAAGATGAGTCAGCTGTGCATCTTTAATGATGGCCATTTGCATACAGGAGCCTGAACACTGCTGCCTCCTCCAGTATCTTTGGAAAACTTCGATGGCATTGAGACCATTGGGACCAGCCTTGAATGCCTAAATTGCAGTCCAGTATTGGCTGCCACAGTATGGTGGCCTGGGATCTGGTCCAACATTGGTGAACATCTATTGGAATCAACATTGATTCTGGTGAGCTTGGGCTCAGGTAACAAGTACCTATAGACAACCAATATTTATAGCAGTTGAGGTTTACAGTAATCTAGTAAAGTATCTGCAGAACTATGCTGCACTTTCCCTGCTAGCTGTTTGTAGCTGTTGTTTAAAGTCATCAGTCAAATCAGGGTCTCTCTCCTTCTTCCACCTGTTTTCCAACCCTGCTTCCCTCAAAACTTCATTGAACTTTTTTGCCCTTCTCATCAAAACTGATGGGGAGGGCTTTGTATAAAGAAAAGTGTCACTGTTTTAATTACTGAATAAATAATTTAATGTGAATTTTATTGTTATATTTTTATGTAGCATTTTCGGTTTGGTCTGTATTTCTCAACAATTAGCTAATGCTTTCTTTTTATTATGCAACTGAAGAACTCATAAATCTCTTTGTAAATTACAGCATTCTGAGTTTCTATTTTTTTCATTATATTAATTTTTAGAGCCAAGGGTATTCTGTTGAAAGCGTTGTAAAGCAAGTGTTCTAAACTGGTTCTCTACTAAAATTGGATGGAGTGAAAGCCTAGCATTGAAGGGATTTCAAACAGGGCTCTCATGAAGGCACTAGCTTTCCTTTTTAGATACTGTCAATTGCTTCTGCTACAGTGTTTTCCTTTCTTTTTTTTTTTCAATATCTTTTTAAGTTGCATTAACACTGGAGGCTCTTTTACAATCGGACCTTGTAGAATCACTACCTTACACTTCTTAGAGTAAGAGCCTTTTCATCATTTTTTTGGCAGTTTCGAAAGTTATCAAGTATAAACTTTCCATGCAAGTTATTTATCTCAATTTGACCTTTTTTTGGGCAAAGCTCAGTGATTCTCACTAAGGAGGTATCTCTGCCCTTGCTAATATTATTTTACAACTGTTTAATTAAGAAATGCTTGCATGTCTATGTTCTGGCTTGAGGGCTGAAGGTTTGGTGTTTTGGTCACAGATATATCATTTACTGTTCCAACGGTGGGGGGGGAGGGAAACCTCCAAACTTCGGCCAAGCACTGAGCTTTTGAAAAATTGCCACTTGCACGCAATCAGCAGGGAGCTGTTAAAAAGCTTAGTTGCAAAATCCTGTAAAGATCCTGACCATATGGGGTGTACTCTGCTGCAGAGCATCAGGAGATGAGCAGGATTTTCCCTGTACGTCCTGGTCCAGGCCCTGTTTCCAGGACCAGACAGCAAGCAGGGTGCTTTTTCTCTGTGCAAAATCACCATGTTCTTCTTTCTTAGGCTGTGAGGAAGAGATGGATAGAGCTACCGGCCAGAAACTCAAGGAGAGGTAGGCCAGGAAAGGAGGGAACTGGGTTCAAAAGCTTCTTGTAGGAGAGAATGGGGTTGGGAGCTGCCAAGAAAGAAGCAGTCTCCATGGACAGTGGGGGTAACGATGGGATGTGGACCAGTGCAAGATAATCAAATAATGCCTGACAATCGTTTGGCTCATACATAAAAGATAAAGAGAGGGATGCGACAGCCATCAAAAAATACTAGGATAATGTGAGGACTTAGAAATTTGGTATAAACTGAGTGTCAAGGAAAGCTTAGGATAAACATTGCAGGAAATTTTTTTTTTTTTTTTTTTTTGAAGTCAGCTGTCTACACTGCAGTATAGTCTGTGAGAAAAGACATGGGAACATTGTTGCTTTAAGACAATCATCACAATTATCCTCAGCAAGGCAATTGTATTTGAGGAAGCAAGAGTGCACTAAGCTAGGGGATGAGGTAGCTGAAGTGCTTTTTCTTCTCCCTGTAACTTCTGCTGCTCTCGCCAGAGTAGGACTCCAGCTGTGTTGCCCCACACCTGGGTTTCCAGGTGCTCATGGGGGCTATGTCTATGTGCTCTTATTGTGTCAATAAAGGAGTGCAAGTGATGCTCACGAGCAAGCATTATTTTATGACTGATTTTGTGATGATCCGTGTCCTCCATTAATGTAACATGGTGTCACTTGGTTGGTTTTAACCACCTTAAGGACCATCAAGAATCTCAATGGCTAATCTGGATAAGCCTTGTTTTGTGTGTTATCAGCTGGCAAGTGGGTCCCAGTCTGGTGTGAGGCGGGGGGTGTCTCCCTCAGAGCCAGGATCAAGCCAGGTGAGCTCAGTGGTGCTCAGGCCACCTGGTGCTGGGGAAATGCCGTGGAAAATGTGAGGAGTGGGGCTGGCATCCTCCTTGCTGGCAAGGGAGGTGAGTGTGGCTGGGGGCCAGCTGCTAGGGCTGGGGCTGACTGGCCCCAGTGGGATGAGGGTGCCATCAGCCTTCGTGGAGACCCTAGGTGCGGTGGGGCCGGTCGTCCTGGCAGGACCTTGGACTCTGAGGGGTTATGCTGCCTGCATGACGTGGGAGGCCGGGTGGGGACCAAGACATCTGGTGAGAATTCCTCACGGCTGAGCTGTGCGTTGGGCTGGGATGCCGATTAATTTAGCTGATTTCTTTTTTGGGGTTGTTGGGAGGAGGAGGGGGACTGGATGCCATAGCCTTCCAGTAATTGTCTCTCTTTCAGAATATCACTTTTGCTTTCTTTGAAGACAAAGTGAGAAGCAATATTTTAAAAAAAAAACAAGCCAACACCAGGAACTACATGGATGTCTTTGCCTTGACAATAAATGTACATCTGCAACTGTTTATCACTATGAGAAAATAAAGTTTTGATGTTTGCCGTTGCATGTACAGAGGTATCACAGGCTTTGAAAATGATTTGTTATGTGAATCCCCATAGTAGCACCAAGGTTCAAAGGGAGGTGGTTTGTTTTTCATGCCCATTTAGTTATGAATAACACCAGCTCTAATTTCCTCCTCCCACCAGCAAGCAGAGAGTCCTACATTGGAAGCCAAATATAGCAACAAAGATTTCTATATCTGGCCAAACCCAAAAAATCTGTTCCCTTTTAAGAATAACACTCTATTCTTTTCTGATGGAGAATAGATAAAGAGAAAATTTAACTTTAAGGAAGCCAGTTTCTCAGTGGGGAACTCCCTAGTCTCTTGAATGTTCAGTGTAAAAGGTATGAACTTGTTTTTTGGTGTCTTTGTAGAAGCCAACAGAGAGACTTAGGTAGACCCCCACCAGTAAAGCACTTTTGGGGTGGCCATATGGATAAATCTTCCCCATTTGCTGTTGTGCTACCTTGCTTTGTCTGTCTTCTAAGCAGCAGAGCCAGTGCTGAGTGGGAATTCCATGAGTTGCACAACTACCCCTGCTTTTTCTTCACCCCTTTTTTTTTTTTTTTCTAGTTTGCTTTTTTGGAGAAGGTAATTCCTTGGTTCTTGCCTGTCCCCCTGCTCTTACCAGGCAAGTAAGCTCAATGAGACAGCATGGAACAGCAGCATTGTCCCACACACCCTTCCTCCTTGGCTTTCTCATCAGGGGAGTATGTGGGAAACCAGCCCTATGTTCTTTCCCATGGCCAGGCTTTCAAGTTGCACGGTACCCACAGAGTGTGACTAGGGACAGTGGGGCAGCACAATTCCCTGCCTGCCTGGTTGGGCTGGAAGATGTCTTACAAATAAAAACCAGAAACATTCATGGCCAAATGCTTTCTCAGGTAATCATTTGACCTTTTCTGAACTGGAGCTAATGCCACATGCTGAGATGAACATGTACATGGTTTTAAGCTGGAATATGCTTTTGGGAGGAGGCAATCCCCCACCACCACCCTTCCACCTCTTTCTCCTCTTGAGAAGTTTCTTTGACTTCTCTACACCATCTGAGGAAAGCTATTCAGTCTTTCTTTTGAAGGATTTATTCCCATTCCAACCCACCCCCGCCACCCACGTGTAAGCAACTGGTATCTGTGACATGTGAGGAAAAAAATCCTGTTCTCTAATGTACTGGCTGTCCTTGTTTCAGAAGTGTTGCCTCATTCATTTTCAGGCTGTTTGGCTGAAGGCCTTTGCTGTAAGGTGAATGCTTCAGGATTACACAGCTCTTCATCCTTTGGAAACCTGGGATTTTTTTAGTTGACTTAGTAGAAGCAGCCTTCGACCCCTGATGCCTTATAAAACCAATGCAGGGAGGTGTCATCCAGTGAATATATTTGCACTGGATCTGTTCTGCCAGACATGTTACTGATGGAGTTTTAAATAAACACAGGGATGTTTGGAAATATTTTGTGTATGTAAATATGTAAAATATGCAAAACAAAGCTAACAGCTGGGGGGTGTACTCAAGTGCTCACGTGAGAAGGCTTTGTGTAATGTTTTTTATCCATCATCCGCTTTTTTTTTTAAGCATCTGTATCTGTTCCAAGATAATCACTTCTCTGTGATTCCCACTGGACAAAGAGGGAGGAGGCTGAATGGCCCTATGTGATGCCCTAAAGTCTGCCTGAACTTCTCTGAAGAACCTCCTACTGTATGGTGAAACCTGCTTTCCACAGAGCAGAGGAGCACATGCCTTCAAGGCAGCACACAGCAATCCCTTTTCATTAGAGGTGGGGTGGCTCCTGGGTCGGATTGAACTTGGGCTTTCAAGAATGGTAACGCAAGACACAACACATAGTACACAGCGTTCACAGTCGTCCTCGAGTGCTTTGTAACTAGCTGACAGAAGTATTAGTCACTGGTGTATGAGTCTTAATTTCCCGAACTGAATCTGTTGCTTAGGAAAGGGTGACACTTTTGCAGCCTCAAGTCCTTTATTTAGCCAGGGAGAGCCAAAGTCTACGTACGCATGTGACCCTACTGAAGATTTTGGGAAAACTGCAGTAAGAAGAAAAGAAAGTCACCCAGAACAAGCTCAGGCTGTAGCACTACTAGGGTCTTCACTTTTTCTTTTTTATTTAAACAGCGTGTTGCTTTTTAGACATCCTTTCAGAGAGGGTAATTCATACTCTATGCACAGTAAGTCTTTGCACCGCTTCTGATTTCTACAGGATATTTTGTGTGACAACCACCTGTTGTTTTTAGTGATTTTTTCCACCCTTATCCTTGCTCTTGTTTTCCAGTTCCACTGCCTTAAGGGAAAATTCCAAACCCCTGGCTGTCTGGCAATGGGGATGTCCAGGGACATGGCACAACAACTCTGTGTCACACAGCTAGCATCTGCGTGCACAGTGAGTTTGACGCTTGGACTCGTGGAGGTCAGAAGGTGCAATACAAATGCAAACTCCATTTGTTTGTTTGATGGATTTAGTCACAGCAAATGGAAGTGCTTGGAAGGATCAACAGCCTGGGTAAAAAGGGTAAATGGGAGGTGGAGCATCCTTCAGCAGGATCCCAGGAGATATTCTGGCTCCCTCAGAAAAAGCCATATTTACTTTGGCAAGGGGAACAGCTTAAGTGCATCCTACGGAGACCTGCTGCTGCTTATCCTCCTTGCTCCAAGTTAGCCTAGCTGGCCTCTTTGCCGTGCTCTCAATGACATTTCTGTGTGGATAGGCTTGCGCAGATCTAGTACTTGAGGAGAATAGACTTGAGGAGATCTATGACTGTTAAGAACCTCATCCCCACCTTAGCTGTTTCCCAATGCAAAAAACCAGCACCAAGGGAACAGGACATTGGCAATCTATAGCATTTTACAATGCCTTAATGTTATATTCTCTTAGTTTAAAAAGTGACAGGTTTCTTAACTCTTGTTTTCTCAGCTCTTGTCCCACATGGCGTCTTCCAGTGATGGCATATATTCTACCACTAAGTTTCCCTTGCAGTGACTAGAAATTGCTACCAGCTTGGATGATCCAGTAAAGTCTTTGAGGCCAGTGTTAAAGCCCATGACTTGAAAAAATTTATGGTTTATGGCTCATATCTGGCCTGATTAATTTTCTGGCTTTTCTGTGGTGGAGAAATACTTGCCTTTTGTATAAAAGTAGATACCAAAAGACCAGAGGTTCCTGCTTGTGCAGAGAGCTGCAGACATAGGTGACCAAAGCAGAGACTTGGAGGCAGAAACAGCTCAAGAGCAGGGCACTGAACTTCTCAGTTTCCCCCTTGCTGCAATGTCTGCTTGTTGTCCTGAAGAAACTAGCACAACAAGAGATGCCATTTCATTTTCACTTCAATATTTCTAGACAGAAAGTAATTTATTTTTATTGCTTTGTATTTATGGTACTTTGCAGCATATGTTGATCTCAACAAATATGTGGAAAGCAAGCACTGAAACTGGTTGGCTAGTGATTTACCTGCAATAGCTGATGTTCTTCATGAACAAACCCATTATTCACAATGTGTATTTGCAAAGCAGCATTTGCAATGCAGCAGGTTGATAACAAACAGGGAATTACATCACTTTTTAAATTTGGATTAGAAACATAGAGAAGCTTAGATGAGCACTGAAGTAGTATCCTCAAGCTTCAAATCTACCCCTACAGAAATTATTCCCTTCTAATACTTTGGACTGTATTTCAGTGATTCTTAGCAAAGGTTCTCCTTAGTAAAGGAGAAAAAATAGCTGTCATCCATGACAGACATTGCTGATTATTTTTCGTGTGGCTGTTTGCTGATTTGAAGAGGTCTGAGAGGAAGTATAGAGATCGCAGATCCCCTGGTAAAACCTCCAGTCCTCCCATGCACATTTTAATTCATCATTGCAAGGACTCGTCTGCAAGTCTCAAACCTGTTATTTTCTTTATATGAAATCAGCAATCATTATAATTTCATCTCAGCTGGAATATTATTTTTCTTTTTTTCTTTTTCCTTCTCCTTTTGATGGGTCAGATTTAAACCATCTGCACGCAGATGGAAAGGAAAAGTGGAATTATTGTTTTCACCAAAAAATTTTGCAGCTGTCAGGGTGTGTTTGACACAAGCCTGATGGCTGAAAACAAAGACAGGACACATTGTCCCTGCTGGATATCAGAGAGCATAAGAAATCTTCATGGCCAGCTCTTACTTAGAGAACTTGGGGCTAAATGAGGTAAACAAGATCATTATGTA